GCAGAAAACTCCTCATCCAGTGACCAGTATATTTGCCCTCTACCTGACTCCTGTACCCCACTGGTCTGGGTCTGTCACAGTATTCAAAGCACTCTTAAAAAAAAACAAAAAACAAAAAACACAACTTTGGAGAAATGGGTTCAGCAAAGCAGGATAAATTGATAACCTGCAGGGAGGAATCATTTTAATTTCCTAATATCTCAGCTTCTTTTAGGACAGAGATTCTCAAACTGTGGTTTGCAGACCACCAGTGGTCCACGAGCTCCATTCAGGTGGTCTGTGGATAGTTCCCTCTAAGGTGTGTGCCTGGGCAGCCGCACACAAGAGGATGAAGGGCCACACACCTAATTAGTGGAGCTGCTCAGGTGTGGCAGCACTAATTAGCCTGGACCCTGGAGAAGACACACATGTAAGGGGAGGTGGTGGCCTTGGGGAGGGAATAGGGGGCAGGTGGGAGGAGGCAGTGGGGTGAGAAGAGGGGGTGGGGGGAATTTGGGACATGCAGGACTGTGGTGGCCTGAAAAAGAGGCAACTTTCCCCAACTTGGGGGCTGCCACAGCGAAGGAAAGAGGGCACATCCATTGCATTAGAAAGGTAAGACTACTGATATTAAAATATGAGTTGTGTGCTTTTATTTGTGGAACAAAAAACGATCATTAAGATTTTTTTTAATATAGAGCTTTTATCCAAAGCGCTTTACAATAGTTAGCTAACGGTACAAACAACATTTGGAAAGATCATTAAGTGGTCTGCTGAGACCCTCAGCAATTTTCAAGTGGTCCATGAAAAGAAAAAAGTTTGAGAACCCTTGTTTTAGGAATTATAAAAGAATCATCTAAGTCACCTAAAAGAGTGTTAAACATTAACATAAATTGTGATATATGGACAGGTTTTTTTCAAATGACAAATTTTTAAAAATTCAAATAAAGCAACAGGAGAAAAATCACTAATCTTCTTTAGGCTTTCCAACTGGTTTGATTTTATACAGCTAGACTTACTAGAGTGGGGTGGGCAAACTTTTTGGCCCGAGGGCCACATCGGGGAATAGAAATTATATGGCGGGCAATGAATGCTCACAAAATTGGGGTTGTGGTACAGGAGGGGGTGTGGGCTCTGGGGATGAGAGGTTTGGGGTAAAGGAGGGTGCTCTGGGCTGGGATCGAGGGGTTTGGAGAGTGGAGGGGAATCACAGCTGGGGCAGGCGGTTGGGTGTGGGGAGAGGCTCGGGGATGCAGGCTCTGAGCAGGGCTTACCTCAAGTGGCTCCCGGAAGCAGTGGCATGTCCCTTCTCTAGCTCCAATGCAGAGGTGCGGCCAGGAAGCTCGGCACGCTGCCCCATCTGCAGGCACCGCCCCTGCAGCTCCCATTGGAGCGCATAGGAACTGGAGTGGGGCCATGCTGCGGCTTCCGGGAGCCGTGTGGTGCGGCCCCCGACCCAGCACCCCACTGGAGCAGGGCACAGCCGCATGGTGCGGCTCGCGGGCCAGCTTAAAACAGCTCAGTCCACAGTTTGCCCACCCCTGTACTAGAGTATATTTTTTTCAGCATGGTTGTGCCAGTCAGTGGTATACACAGGGTCTATTTATGCTGTGAGTATTTTGTGTTTGTTCAGCTCATATTTTTTTTTAAATGCCTTAGGACCCAATTCAACTTTGGAATTTATTTTTATTTATTTATTCATTTATAGATCTCATGTTGTTTGGTTTACCTAGCTACTGCCTCTCAGGGAGGTGGATTACCTACACCGACGGCACAATCCCTCCTGTCAGAGTAGGGAGTATCTATACTGGAGCACCACAGCAGCACAGCTGCAGGATTTTAAGTGTAGACAAGCCCTGAGAATAGATACACCAAAGGCAATAAAAGTCTTCCTATAAAGCTCCAACATTTCCATTTTCCTGGACTTGGCTGGCCCCCGTATAATTACAATCCAGATGAAGTGTCACAAAAACATTCTTACTTTATCTCCTCCTTTCCCTTGGCGTCCAATTCCACCTTCCTCCCCAATGCACTTGCAAAAAACAGCACAGCACGTCCTTTCAGCAACGTTAGTCTTGAAAAGAGGAACAAACAACCTGTGAAACTTCATTTTTCATTCATACTTCCCTGATCCTGAGCACATTTAAGACATTGAGAGTTTTGCATTGAATTCAGGAGGAGCAGGATTGTGCCTTGCATTCTACAGGCTAGATCCTCAGCTGTGGCCGAGCAGCACCCAGTGCAGCAGGCCTTTGCAGCACCCTGATCCTGGGGCTATCTGGCAACCAGGGCTGGTCCCAGGCTAAATTAGAGCAGTCTCACTCCTTCCTCCTGCCCCCCTCCCCAGCCACACTCCTTGCACCAACAGCTGCCAAGCTAAGCAGGCTGCTCCAGTACCATGAGAAGATTCTCTTACACAGTGGGAAACTTCAGAGGACTGAGCAAGTTGACTCTAGGCCTGTTTTGTGCCACTAGTGGTGGCACAAAGCAGCCCGAGCATACCAGAGAATCTTGCCCTCCGTGACTATTGTACTCCTCTCAGTTCAGTTGTGAGCCTTATTCAGTTCTTTAAGAAAATGACTAGGGCCTTCATCAAAACTCTAACTAGACACACTGGAGCTTCTCTGAATGACTTACCACATACTTGGACAGTGCTTTGGCGATATTGCTCATGCCAATAGTTAATTGAGTCATGTATTCAAATCCTTTTCCAAACTCAATGTACTGAAGCTCGTTAAATTTGGAGGCTCCTTCCAGAACAACGGTCATCAGTGCATCCAATCCTATTTAAAACATTGACCATAAATGAGCAAAACATTTATCCAAATGAAAATCTTAGACAATTATTTAGTTGATGTGATCCTTGCGTGTAGGAATTCAGATTATTATAAGGGTAAAAATAAAGATTATAGATTAGAGAATGAAAATCATGATTTATCTTCACATTTTATTTTTAAGAGTCCATAATTAATAGAAAATAAATGGGCCAGTGGAATCAGAAGCAACTGTGGAATGAATTCTCTGAGTGAAGCTTGAGCATCAAAGAACATGTGACCACTGTGGCTGTCAGCACAATTTTTTCCAGACTATTTTATCCTTTCACCTGAAAGCAAGTTTTTAATTTTCAAAATAACACTGCCTTGTACTGAAATTGAGTTTAAAGCTGAAGAGAAGAAACACACTGGGCTAGATCATCAGCTGAGGTAAATCCAAAAATGGAATACAGTAGATTGAAAACAAATATCCCAGTATTATAGCCAGAATTTTCAAAAGAGTTCAGCACTCACATTTAGGACTAGATATTTAAAAAAAACTCAGCTCCTGTATATACACCAAAATAAGTGGCCAAATTTTCACAAAAGCTCAGCACATTGGGTCCATGTGAACACTTCTGAGAATCAAACCATCAGCACCACAATCCGAGGCATTGCCTGCTCAGCCCTTTTGAAAATCTGTTCCCAGTGACAGGTCCTGAGCAAATCTGGTGCTTTTCCTATTATTATTTCATGACCTTGTACCACTTGGTGATGATTGTGGGTTATCACACCACATCATGATGCATGGAAGCTTCATGACAAGGCAAACAAAAAGCAATGTTAGGACATAACACTCTGAATTAGTGGCTCTCTCTATCTCCATATCCTGGCTGCTAAAAGGGAAGGCATTCGTTTTTCTTCTGTCCCTTTTTCACCTGCCGTTCTTTGGCTAAAGAGCTTTGGGTTGAGTAACACTCTTACAGACCCTCTCAAAGTAATTTAATTTAAATATTTGTCCGCTTTAAGAAACCTTTTTTCCTGAGGTCTTCTGACTTTTGTTCAAGTTCTTCTACATCTTCATCCAAACCATCTGAAAATACAAGTAAAACCTAAAGAAAGATAGAAAGTTTGAAATCACAGGAAGTCAACAGCAGATTTAAAACAAAAGAACTTATTTTTGGTCCAAAGTCTCGGTGTAAGAGATTAGGTTACCTTCCTTCGATTTTGATCATCAGCTTTGCTTGGAAACGTTTTCCAGAGTGACTCCAGGAGGTTGCCATTGAGACTAGATGGTTTGTCGATCAGGATCTCTCTCAGGCTGTTCCATATTTTCTCACTGTCAAACTGGAACTTTGAAGACACGGGTGTAACTGTGTTGTTCAAGTAAACTGCCACGCTGCTCTGTGTCTTTGTCCCCACATTGCAACTCAGACTGCTTAGGGATGTGAGGGCTTTTAGAATGTCAGGAAGATATGCTTTCAGCTGGTACTGTCCATGGAATAAACGGTCACCTCTCTTTTGTGAAGAGATGTCAAATCCCATAACAATATCCACAAAACAAGCTACAGTCGGGAAGAATAAAAAACAAAGTATCACAAATTAATGCACAAATTTAGGTGAAGGAACAGAGAGAAAGAGGGGGACAGAGTAAGCTAAAGAATCATGGTAATTGTAGAAATCTGTCAGATATGGACAGGAAAACAAGACAATAGCTGGTGGATAGAATATGTAGAGAGAGGTCCTTAATGTCTTTAATCCATATTGGGGCTAAATTCACCCTGAATTCATTTTTTACACCAGCAGGGTTATTCCAGGGATGAACTTGCCTCAATAGATGTACTTCTGCTGAAAAGAAAAGGGAAATACTTTCAAACAGTAATTGTAATTAACTGAAAAAGTATTTTGAAGTAACAATTATTTTTTCATCTGAACCATTTAACAAATTCTACTATCATTGATATTAATGTGAGTTTTGTGCTTTACTTCAATGGAAGCAGAACTGGGCTCAATTTCATATTATTCCCCATCCCCAACAATAGTTAAACAGACTGAAACTTAACTTTCTTTATAGTGCACTGTGTTGGAAGATGCTTCAAGAGTTAATGATGCTGTACTAATAGTCTATTCAATACACCTAGAAGTCATACCGACAATTCTGTTTCACGTGTAGGTCAATACTAACAAATGGGGTGGAACACCTTAAATCAAGATGATTTAAATCATGATGTTAAAAGACAACTTTAAAAAAAAAAGATGGAAGTTAGGTTAAGCCTTTATAAAATTAATTTGAAATTTTGTGCTATTGCAACTTTAGAATAAAATTTATAATACACTTGATAATAAGTGCTGCTTTTTTAAATGCCGGTACTGGTGGGGTATCTTATTTGAGTTTTACAAAACTGCTATAGGCAAAAGAAAAGTATTGAAAATTAAAGCCCTGATTGTGCAGGCATCTAAGCAGGTATCTAATTTTACTCATATGACTAGACAATGAGGCTACTCTTTTAAATATATGCATGAACACATCTTAGTGACAGTCTTTATCACTTCAGAGCAAAACAGCTTCTGTATTAACACCGAGAAGTCATTTAGACTTTCAGTACATTAACACAGTTATGAACTTTTATTTATACAAATGGACCATTTAAAAAAAATCCTAAGGCTAATTACCTAAATATGAGCTTAAAGATTGAAGAGATTTTCGAGACCACATAAAGAACACAAGTTCCAATGGCTCCCAACTGCAACCACTGATGGAGGAATACGGCCTGATCAAAGCATTTCAGTTTCTTGACTCATGGAAGTTCAATATATCCAAGATTATGTTGGTTGTAAATATAGCTCATCTACTTTGTGTCTAGTTTGTGTCATTCTCACAGTAAGGGTTAATGGGAAACTGGAATGATCATTTTCTGCATAAATGAGTATTGCAAGAGTGAAATCTCTCAATTGAAAAAAAAAATCTGTAAAAGCTCAAATTCCAACAGTTAGGAAACTAATTGGAGAAATAAGTATTAAACATCGACTTTAGCAATTTAAAGCTATGAAGTAGGAATAAAGTAAAGAATTTGCAATGTGTAAATAAAATATGATTAATTTTAACCTTTTAAATTGAAATATTCAAATTTAGATTCTTTTTAATGTAAGCAGAGTCAGGATGAGCTCTACCCTGACATCTGGTGGTGAATTATGGCGAGTGTGGAAAAGAACTCCAGGGCTGATCTTGTTTGAATAAGCACACCCACCCCACCTAGCCTGAGCCCACAGCAGCCCCAAATGGTCACTTTGGCTGCTGTGGGATCCATAGGTTCTCTGTTGGGTTACATTAAAAAAAAAAGAATAAATTATGGTAGGTCTTTGCCTTGTGAACAAATCACTTATTTCTTTTGCCACCAAATACATCTTCCTAAGTTCTTGCTACTGGCAGTGCTACTACATGACAGTGTTAGAGCAGCTGCACCCCCCACCAGAGAAAGAGGACAAAGGCAGACAGGGAAAAGGAAGCAAGTGACACTCTTCCCCAAGCCGGAGAATATTTTTTTTCATTACTCTCAAGCTCTAGGACCAGGCTCTAGTGGAGGGGTCGGCAACCTACGGCACGCGTGACAAACACGGCACGTGAGCCGATTTTGAGTGGCACGCTGCCTGCCCGGTGAGAGGAGGCGGAGGATGAGGGGCGGAGGGGCCAGAAAGTGCCACGCTGGGGGAAGAAGAGGGAGGAGGGAAGCTTGGCTGCCGCAGGAGCAAGCTTCTGCTTCCTGCCCCTGCAGGGGAGAGCGGTGCAGGGGGGTCCCG